TCCACACGCACGTTGGCCAATTGGTTCTGGTTGTTATTTATTAATCTGGAACATATCATTTGCGTTGACAATGGAGCAGCTTGGACGTTTTGCTTTCGTATTGTCTTTGGACGGCAAAATGATCAGTATGGGTAGATGAAATTTACCCGCGCACCTAGTGGAGAAAGAACGAAATCCTAGTAGATAACCAACCCTTATAAATGCAGTTAGGAGTACTGACAACGGACTCGGGTTCTGTAGCTGCTATCTGCGGCGTTTCGTCTATTGTTGGCCGTTGCAAACACATGTATCCTCAGGTATGCAATCCAGCACGGTTTACTGATTATTGCTTAAATTTTTCCCTTATTAGGTCTATTACAGTTTCAAATAGGAATCGTTGAGCAGGGATGACAAGATTGATCGACGTAGTTTGCTTTCTTGTGTAAGGATAGACAGTGAAATGTTTGAAAATGGACATCTGGGGCCTAAATGGGTGTTAATCGTGCGGGGGAGTTTTGACAGCGTTCACGATGGACCATGCAGTTTCTTGAACGACGTCATTTGCCTTGCTGCGGCCGAGGTAAGAGGGATGTTTCGCGATGTCAGCGTGAACCTTGAATATGCGTTACCGTGGCGGACACGGGCGGCAATGAACCGGGCACCGGAGGTGTTTTTCGGTATTGCAGCCTTTCCCTGTTATTTGACTGGTGTTAGTGTCACCACTGTCCTTCGTCCCCCCTTCCCCCGCCCTAATATGTTGCGTAGCCGAGCATGTCAGGCAAGATTTCATCTGCTGATCGATTTCTCTCCCATCAGAGCTAACGGTCACGTGTTTGACGAGACCCAACTCTTTCCTGATGCAGCCGAGGACATGCTTCAATTGAAGACGGAGTTTCGCCAACACTTCTATAACATTTCACGCATAATGGACTGCGTCGGCTGTGACAAATGCAAACTCTGGGGCAAAATCCAGGTTAGATTTTTACCAGCACTATTTTCTTGTTCACCAACCTAACCTTAATGCCACATTACTAGGTTCTTATTGAGTTTCCTTTCATGGAATAGGAAGCTTTGGCAAGGAAGGTGTTATTGCTGCCTTATCTTACCAGTCGACAAGCTTCCAGGTCTTATCTGAATGAATTCCTTGATCCCAACACGGAAATAAGGGGCAATTATTTAAACCTGTTGAAGCATCCTATGCATATGTTTGTGTTCGGTCGCTGCAACGGGCTGCTCCTCTTTAGATGTACTGCGCAAAAGCGGAGCTGGATTGAGGCCCGACACGCGTCAATCAGGCTTCGGAGCTCACATAAACAGCATAAGCAGATTGGCGGGCCCGGCCTGTTGGTTGGAGAGCATAGAGAGAATGAGGTTGACACTGGCATGTTCGTCTATATGGCAACTAAAGGTATTTTTGAACATGATGAATCTTACGTCCTAAATGTCGTGGCCTTAAAAGTTCATCAGGTAATGGGATAACTTGGGCGTATTTTGAGTAACTAAGGGGTTGGGTTCCGGCCTGGGACGTGGCTCTTAAAGCACTAACTGCGATGTGATCCGAATCGAAAAGGCACGCGCTGGAGGACACAGGTCGTGTGTGGCACGCGTAGACGGATCGTTCAAATTTCTTAGGCGCTGTTTCAATATTAAATGGTCTTGCCATGAAAAAAACTGGATAAATGAGGAAGCGAGAGTATTTTAGATGCTGTACACGTCTTTCTCGTCGTAACCAAGTCACCGCTGTAACGATCTAAATATTGTGCTTGAACATGATCCCCAAAACGGGCGCAGCTGCTCCCCGAAAGACCAAACTGGCGACACACACTTATATGTCACATAAAGGAGGTCCAACTGTCCTGGCCAGTCACTGCGCCCATGCCCATCTCTATCTTGGTGCTGGAAAGTAATAGGAAAGCACAATTGGAGGCTGTTAAGACCGATGCTGTGCACTTCTTCCT